AAGTCAAAATCTTTTTATCGAATATTAAATTTTAAAAAATAAGTAAAAATCAGCTTTAAATTAAAAGAACAAAAATATTCCATTGACAATAATTATTCCCGATCGATTTTTGTTACGGAAACAACTTATATGTTAAATGTTATCAAATACACAGGATATGTACATATACTCACGTTATGTGACACAATAGTATGTGCAAACGCGAAGGCTAACCTAACCTAACCCTTCTGATCTGTGTCCAACCCTTTAGTAATTTGACATGGGAGTTTTGGCGGGAACTTGGCGGATTGTCGCTCCTGTTTTGCCGCTTGAATAATGGTTTGAAGTGGATTTTGATTCGTAAAAGTAATGCAATTTTGTGAATTAAGTGCCTGCGCGTGTGAACTATTAGAGAAAACGACGAAACAAATGCTTTGATGTTGGTATAAACCTCAACTTAATTTGATCGCTTGGGCGCCTTATGAACTTGAGTGGCTGTCGTCATCAACTGTCCGCTGGGTTAAGCTATCGTCAAAATCTCTCAATACTTCAGAATGTGACGCATCAGCATATTATTGTGAAGAAAAAATATATAAAGATGAAGATTCCGAAAGAAATGATAGGCTCAGAAGGGCTAGAACCCAGAGCCATAAAGTCAGTTAATAAAGTAAATCATTTGACATGAATACTTGCATCAGTAATCTATGACTTGCATTTAAATTATGGCAGGTTCTAGGAACAAAGGATTTTTGCTTTCTACAGATTGATGAAAGATTTATTATAACAAGAATAAATGTTAGTTAACATTTTAATTACAATTAAAAATCATGAAAATTAATTGATATATAAAAAATCGATAAAATACTTACCATATATAAATTCAGATATTTATATAATCCCACTGCCGACTGTGTAAAGTAGCACAGATAACTAAGACATCAGCCTCTCTCATTCAAACGAGGTCGTGCTAGCGTTCGGAGCAAAAAAAAACTCGCAAGCAAACAAATAGAATTATCACAATATTAAATCAAGCAATACTAGGGATATTATGACGAGGCCTCGGCACTGTTTAACAACATATTGGACGTTGCGTTGCAGAGTTGATGATTGAGAAAAAACGGCGAAATCATGGCTGTCTGGGCGTGGTGGGGCGGGACAGGGCGTAGCGCCCTTAGCGCCGCCCCCATTGAGTCACCACCTCGGGTGCGCCGCAGCCCGCAGCAACAAAGGCGTAGGTATACACACACAAGAGAGTGTACCACTTGGGCACACTAGTAATTATTAGACATTAATTAGTCTCTGATATTATCACAATAAGAGCGTTCTAAACTCATATGCGAGTATGATGAGTTACAGAGTCAGACAAGAGAGTACTGTTTAACTTTTGTAACAACTATGATGCAACTAAGGCCTTATTTTTGCTACCATTGTAGCTACAGTGGTTTTACTTCGAAGATAACCGTAGAACTTCATTACAAAAGAGCAATCAATGATACTTTATCACTTGTTAAGCCTTCAGTTTGTTTGTAGGTAAGAATTTGATTATAGTTTGTTTGCAGTTCAAAATTATGTATCTAATAGAAAAATAAGGATATTAAAGTTAATTAGGTAAATGCTAAATTTTAGATAAATAATCAACAAATACTTACATTGAAAAGGAAACCAATTAACTCTCTTTATCATTACATACCTAATTGGTGTAATTATTCTATTCCTTAACTGTCTCCTAAAGTATCTACTAGTAAAAGGTGATTTAAACTGTTTAATTTAACCTTTTACTAGTGGCACCTGGCAGTTTTACCTTGGCAGCATAATCAGATTGCAGAAGATACCTATATTTTATTTACTTCCTAAAATAAAATTGAAGATAATTTATTTTAGGTGATAATTATCGCGTAATTTACAATCTTTGTTTTCTTCATTGCCTCTCTGACTGACTGTGTATCTTTCTTTGTGTCTAATCTTACTCCGAAAAAGTTTTATTTAAGTCATTATGATCTGTAGGTACCCTTGTTCCTCGTCCGTGCCGCCACAGGCCAGGCCACACTCGGCTCATACAGGTGACTCATCTAGATTAGAGGAGAGGCATTGTTGTGATGACGTCACCTCGACCTGCTGTCCTCATAGTGGTTCCGTGCTTTGTTTGCCAACAAGACTACTCCCGGCCAATTCCAAGAAGTGACCGTCCGCAAACCGAGGCCATAAATATATTATCAAAAGATTCAATATTATTCGTAGTTACTTATGTCATCAAAATGTTTAGTCGCATTGACTTTCAAATCTGATTAGTAGATATGTAGATATGGTAATAAGTCAAACATAATTATAATATAAGATATTTGTATCGCTTTAAACTTATAAAATTTTTATAAGTAGGTAAATTAAATGAGAGTTACTTACATATTAGAAATAATTAAATATAATTTCTAAGTATCTTACAAAAAATTATTTCAATAGGTAAGTACATGTTAAAAAGAGAATTGATAAACTTTTCCAAAAAAACTTCACACTCGATAAAAATTAAATTAAGTTGTTTCAAAATTAATATCGAATGAATCTTGCGCCGTCGTTGCATGCAACCCGGGCTTCGACCGGGTGCGGGTGAACGACCGCCAAACCGCGCTAATCCGCCATCTTGGATTCGTCACGGAGAGCGAGCGTTATATCTTTCGCTGTAGACTTGGCAACACCATTCAATAACATGGTAAAATAATTTACTTTATTAGATTATGCATTTGAAATCAAAGTGAATATAGAGATTAAATAATAGTTATACATAAAATAATATTGAAGTCGGGTTTAAAAAAACGGGCAACAACTAAGTACCTACAACACCGCAATGGAAACATGATGGGAATGAGTTTTACCTATTATTTATTCCGTGGTTTTAAGTTACTCCATATGTTATATCATACTAGCGATCCGCCTTGACGTCGCACGGGTGTTTTTTGGATCTCGACAACATTTGCATGCATTATACTTATAAACTCACTTGCATCAACGCATGTATTATTTATACTAACTTGAATCATTTAGTTTATTGATGAAAACCGCATAAAAATACGTTGCGCGGGAAGCGACTTTGTTTTATACTATGTAGAGATTCTAATACTGGTATATACCTAATAGAATTCTTTCTGCGCAGTTATGACATAATAAACATGTAAGATATTGTTCATATTTGAATAAAAAAATGTTATCCCACGCCCTAGAATTTTCTACTGTAGGTATCGTGGTAGCGTTTAATATATAAATTGCACATGACCATATTTTTTTGTATTCTACAATCTGAGGTTTTCTATTAAAATATTTGTAGGCCATATAATTCATAAGCGTTGTTTGTGGCAAAGCTATAATAAAAATATATAAGTATCAAGTATGTTGGTAAATAACGATTTATAGAGACAAATGAAAAAATGTGATTCTTTCGTTCTTCAATTACGAATAAGAAGTGAATTACAAAGGAAATATACGATATTTGAAGGAATACTCCTAATAAAATTCTTCAAGAGGAACAGTATCGCATGTGGGTGACATTCCCCGTCCAAAGGAGAAACTTGTCATGCTGCATTCGCTGCTCGCCCTTTACCGACGCCGAGGTCGGGTACCGTTGTTGCTAATGCCTATGGTAGCAAGGGTTGTCTCCGTCTATTTCAGTGTAATGACCTTTGAGGCAATTCCTCATAAAATAGGATAGGTTACAAAAAATAATATTTCCTTATTTATTTATTTTTTAATTATAGATGACAGATGGAAGTAAAACTATCTCGTATAATATACTTTTTTATCTTTATTTAATACACGGACAGGCAACGGAAATCAGTAGCGTTTAAGATTTAAAATAGGTAGATTAAAGGAATGCCACAAAAACATCCTGCGCCACTTGCATTCATCGAGATCCTACATCTCTTACCATGTTGTCAGCCCATCTAGAAGGGGGTTTCCTTAGACTTTGCCTATCGGTACGAGGCTGCCACTTGGGAAACTTTCTTAGTGAAATTAGTTTCTGTAGTTGCCTATTAATTTGATAGGTAATTATTAAAAATATTTGCAATCCTCTTAACCCGTTTTCGGTTAAAATAATATCAATTGGGTAGGAGGTATCATAATGTCACTCAATCAGATAATATCGAATCTAAGATGCCGTCCTAGATACACAAGCATAATCACAATACAATCGGGATTGCAAGTATACACTCGTGTTTACATAAATATTGGTTCTAGTGTTGCCCAAATGCAAGAGCAAGACGAGACTTAGCCAGTCTTGGTCTTGCGCCAATACACCTGGTCTTGTTCTTGGTCTTGGTACTGCGCTCTCAGTCTTGTTCTTGGTCTTGGTCTTGCAGCAAGAGTCTCGCGAGTCTCACAATTACCTATTAGCCTATTGTTATTTATTAAACATTACTTTAGATCTTACGGCGCCTCTACACGTTGGCCAACACAGTGGCGAATATAGTGGCCAATAGCATTGGCCAACGTGTAGACGGGGTGTTTGGGCTTCATTGGTATGTATTGGAACAACTTAACAGAGTAGGCATATTTTGAGCTTGAATTAACATAGCCATAGAAAGACAACCAAATTAATAAATGTCTAAACATTTAATGAGAAATTCGAAAAATCAACTAATACCGGGTGGGGTTTGAACCCACGACCTAAGCGATCCGTGCCGATGCTCTAACCAACTGAGCTGTCTACCAAGTCTCACGGCCACGGGAGTTAGTCTGTTTCTTAACCCTTTACCGCATACCGTGACAAATATGGAACACTCAACTTTTGTTGTAATATATTACTGCCTGCGGCGTCTATAATATTTTCTCGGAACTAATTCGTACTAGAGAGTGTAACTCACCTAAATATGTAACAGTGGCGCCTCTTTAGAGACGCCTAGGAACTAAAATCGACTGTTTCGTCAGTCGGTTGCCAAAATTTGACAGGTCGACAGTTAGCAGATTTTCAATACGATTTTTTATTGTTTTTTTCTTAATATCTGAGGATTAATTGTGATTTACCGGATAGAACAATGGACCCACAGGCTTTTTACGGCAAAAGAAGTAAGTTTAAGTCATAATATGTATTGAATATTATCATTTTAAAATTGTTCCCAATTTGGAACACCATGCAATTGTTACGTTTTTTGTAGTGCCAAATATGGAACATTATGCACTCCAGTCAATATTTTAACAGTTCCAAATTTGGAACATTATGCAGTGTTAGACCAAGATATATATTATATATCTATAGTTTTAGGTCAATTTTTTAACAAATTTTTGTATTGAATATGAAACCGTCAATAACTTACAAGTTCAGAATTCGGAACATTATGCTGCATAAGATCTTTTTATACTTGCAGTTTAATACTATACCCTGCAGCTAATGTAATTTTTAAGTAGGACAAGTAAAAGTAGCGCAGTTTTAGATGTCCCGCCCTGAATATGTATTATATATAGTTATGTTTATACGTGATTATCTTTAAATTTGCTTAATTACTTTAATTGTAGATAAAATAGAGATGCGTCCTCGACGAACAATCGTCGTAATTCCAGAGAGCAGCGAGGATGAAAATGTATCAGATGATGAGACTTACAGTACTCAAGATCCTTTACATATAAATGAAGAAAAAGAAAAGTCTTCCTCGGACGGAGAAGATGAAGAAGGAAAAGAGGAACTGGACCAGCTATTTCCTGAGTGCACTGAAGAGCATATGGAAACGTTAGAAAATTTTACAGACAATCAACCTTCTACTTCACAGGCAGCTTCTTCAAGTAAGAAAGAAAAGAAAGATAAGTTGGTGTGGTCGGATGACAATCTTCAGTATGATGAATCCAATATTGCTTTTTTGGGATCTGAAAATCTTCCAGATGAAATAATGCAGCTAAATACTCCAATGGAGTTTTTCAAATTTCTTTTTCCGTCATCTGCTGTAAATTTAATTGAGGAAGAAAGCAACGTATACGCAGCACAAATTTTCCCCGAAAACTTGAATTCAGTGACACATAAAGACATTTATAAATTTATTGGTATTATTATCTACATGTCGGTAGTGCACCTGCCAACTACTCGTCATTACTGGAAGGAGGGCACATATGTTGAAAAAGTTGCAAATGTTATGACGTGCAATAAATTCGAAGAGATTAAAAGATTTCTGCATTTTTTCGACAAAACAAAAGAACTAAAACCATATGACCCGCAGTTTGATAGACTTCAGAAAATACGCCCACTTATGAAAATCCTACGCGAAAGACTGCTAAAAGTGCCGAAAGAGGAATTTTTGTCCATTGACGAACAGATGATCCCTACTAAGGCCCGAACTTCAGGAATCAGACAGTACAATGCAAAGAAACCCCATAAGTGGGGTTATTTGAATTACGTATTAAGCGGAGTCAGTGGATTTAGTTACGACTTTGAATTATTCGGAGGAAAATACCCAGCACCGCCTGAAAACTGTCCCGATCTTGGAGTGCCAGGAAATATGGTTCAAAGACTATTGAAGACTGTCTCGGACAATTTGAACCATAAGATTTTTGTCGATAACTGGTACACAAGTTTGCAGCTAATGGCAAACTTGCACAAAAAAGGTATTCTGCCATTAGGCACAGTACAACTGAGAAGAGCTCCAAATACAAATATAAATAAAAAAGCTTTAGAAAAGAAAGAACGAGGTTATTGCTCCGAAAAAAGTGTTGCTGTTGATAACGTTAAGCTATCAGTTACCAGTTGGGTCGACAATAAAGCAGTCAGTTTGTGTTCATCCTATGTAGGCAAGGAACCAATGGGAGTTGTGAAAAGATATTCCAAAAAACATAAGCGTAGAGTTGATGTTTCTTGCCCAAAAGCAGTATCAATTTATAATAAATACATGGGCGGTGTCGATTTACTAGATGCCATGTTAGGCTTCTATAGGATCAAAATCCGCAGTAAAAAATGGTACCACCGCCTGTTCTTCCATTTCATTGATCTCTGTTGCGTGAATAGTTGGCTATTATGGCGGAGAGTCATGAAACAAAAGGCTGAAGATATTTACATTCCATTGCTTGACTTTAAATTAACCATAGCAGATGTATTGATGCACAAAGACTCAAAGGTATATACTCCGACTACACGCAAACGAGGACGACCACTGAATCAAGATGTTGAGGCAATTAAAAAGGGGCAATCAAGGCGACGCATAGAACTGCCTCCAATGGAAGTAGCTGGAGACGGGTTCAACCACTGGCCGAATTGGAAAACTGATCGCCAAAGGTGTAAAATGGTAGGATGCACGCAGAAATCCCAAGTGATGTGCGAAAAGTGTGGGTGTTATCTTTGTTTTAACAAAGATCGCAACTGTTTTAAAAACTTTCACACATAATTTTTTTAAATTAAATACTTATTCATAGCTTCACTTTGTTTCTTTTATTTTTATAAAATTCTATTTCAATTATACATAATTAGACCACACCGCATGTTGTACCAAATATGGAACGTCTATGTTATAGAACTAGAACGCACGGTGTTCCATATTTGGAACAATTACTTTTACCTATTTATCTTTTTTTAATGGTGTTCTATATTTATTTAAATATTTTTTTGGGGTGCTATATATACCCTATAGTGACATATATTTTTTCCAAAGGATTTAAAAAATTCATGCGGTAAAGGGTTAAACGTTTACATTTTTAATAAGCTTACATGTGCTAAAAATTAGTCAAAACAAATTAATGAAATTAACTTGACTGTATTATAAAGAACATTATCTGTCTATAAAGAGATTGATAGACCCTTATATGAAATGGAATAAAAGAGTTATACAATTTACCATTTATTTAAATAAAAAAAAAAATACAATACAAATTAAATTACATAACAGTACACAACAGCTTTGACATTACTGTTACTTTATATTAATTCTTTCGACCAAGAATTAATACAAAGTAACCATCTGGCTGACTCATCACTTAACCTATTTCTGTGTTTTCTAATTACTAATGATGCTTTAGAAAATAATCTCTCAGCAGGTATTGAAGTTGCAAGTATTGAAAGAAAATCACGGGCCATCTTCGATAAAGTCGGATATTCTATCTCATGCGTCCTCCACCACTCTAAAATTTCTTCCGAACTGGCGGCTCTGGGTTTACTTAGGTTCTCCTCCAACTCGTCTATAACTAAGCCTTGATGAAAAGATCCAGATCCAGATGACGTCGAGGGACATGCATACAATTTCTCAAAGTCTATTACGTCTTCATCTTCATCATATTCACATACTTTCTTTTCATTTCTTGGTGATTCTAGAGATGTATTCACTGAGTGTAGACTTTTATATTCTTTATAAAGTTCATTAAATTTGCGCAGGCTTTCTGTTTTAATTTGCTTCCCCCATAATGTCATATCAAAAGTCTGAGTCTTATGCCTTGGGTCTAAAATTAAAGAGGTACAATAAATCCAGTTGCTCTTTTTATAATGTTTAAGCATTTTGTCTCGAGCTGCTTGAAAACCCAAAATGAGCCTTTCATCCACTTCGGATCGATTAGGTTTCTCATCAAATTGTTTTACCATGGATTCAATTTTATCGAGCAAGAGATTGAATGATACAATGACTAGCGGTAATGTAACATATTTTTCTCCACCAAGTTTCGTTGATAGAAGTTTAAAGTTTATTAGAAACTTATGTATTTTTTCGAGTATTTGCCATTCACTATCTGTGATTTGAAAATCATTCAATTCGGTGACAGAAGTCCACAATATGTTAATGCCAGTTCTCACTTTTAAACCAAATCCAATCATATCATGTGTGGAATTCCATCTCGTTGGACAGTCGAGTATGGGGTTCAGATTTGATGGCACGCCAGCTGCTTCACAAACAGACTGAAACTTCCTCTTCAATATCTCACTTCTTTTTATTTTACTGGAAATACTGCGTAATTTTGTTATAGCTGTACGTGAGTCAGCAATATTTGGCGCATATTCTTCATCTTCCTCAGTTTCGTCTTCATTATCTTCATGCTGCTGTTCTTATCCCTTATTGTCAGTTTCACTGTGTAATGCTAAGGTATTTAATAAATCTTGTACACCAAGGTTCAAAATGTAAGCAAAGCACCGGAAATGTTGATTGTCTGAATCAAAGTGTGGCAGCTGTTTGTCCAATTCATACATAAATTTGGTATTTGCAGTTGCGTTGTCGACCGTGATACCCTGTATTTTATCAATTATGTCATATTCCAATAAACATTAGTGGAAAATCGTTGCAATATTTTCCCCAGTATGTCGACGTCTCGCCAATTATAAAAACAAATGAAAATATGAGTGAATTATAAATACATATTTAAAACTATAAAATATCTATGTATATATATATATATATATATATATATATAGGTTCCTTTTATGGCATAGAGATCAGTTAAGAAACGGTTTTGAGAAAATCTATCCCTAAGGGAGAGTGAAATGGGAGTTGGAAGTTTGTATGAAAGTGCTACGTTTTTGAAGTTAGAGACACGAAAATCGGCATTAAAGTTATAAGTTTTCAGTAATAAAATCCTGAATAAACTGTTTTACGAAATCCTAACCCTAAGGGGGGTGAAATTGGGGTAAAATGGTTACATGCAAGTCCTATATTTTTAAAGTATAGATATGAAGATCGACATTTACTTTATTAGTTTTAAATAATAAATACTTGCATAGTTAAGCTTTACCTATATCCTCTTTATACTTAGGTAAGACTTTTGCAGAGAGAAAATTTCAAAATCTCATAGGAAATCAGATATTGTACGCGGACGAAGTCGCAGGCGGCCGCTAGTTACATAATATATGTGTTATGTAATTGTGTGATAAGTATATTTTTTCTTACCTGTCCACATTTCCCGGTGGTTATTAAAAAGCTTGTGATGTCTCCACTTAATTTTGGTTTTTCAGGAAGAAATATTTGTGATTCCTTCTTGTGGAAAGATGTTAGATGCTTCCTTAAGCCTGAAGTGTTTCTGTGTTTTTCATTTTTATTTCAACCTTTTTATGTTGGCATAATTTACACAAAGCAATTTGGGATGCATGAATTATGTCGACAAAACTCATCAAATTTACTTTTAGGTCTTTTAGATCTATAACTCCAACTCTCACTACTCGACTAGAACTATTCGACTCTTCGTCACTCATGTCAAATTGTAAACTTACCACTCCGAAAACAACAAGGATTAGAGTAAAAACAATTAATACATTAGACTCGAAGCAAAGCTCAATTGGGAATGACTGGAATTAAAATAAATACTACTATTTGTAAGTACACGCCGAAAGACCGACAAAGGAAAGTTCGGCATCCTTTGATAAAATTAATGATTCTTCAGAAGATTAATAAAGTAGATGCGTTGCCAGATAATTATAGTGTGCCTACGTAAAAATGAAAAATGTAAATAAAATTGTGTATATTATGTTCTTCTTGTGATTGAATTAATCTACGTTAATTAAATTAAATTTGCCTTCACTCGTTTGAAATTCAAAATTCAAATATGTTTTATTCAAGTAGGCATTAAAAATACACTTTTGAATAGTCATATAATCACTGTTTTCCCCAATTTTTTCTTTTCCATGTCCAGGGGTTCTGATTCTACTGAGAAGAATCATGGAAGAAAGTAAGAAACTCAGTACTTGCTCTTTTCAAAATATTTTTACAATAGTTCTATAATTATGTAAAGCGATAAGTCAAACATAAAATGTCAAATGTATATGTAGATACCAAATCGGTTTAGAAATTTCTAGTTAGTCCTGTGTAGTACGAGAGGTCAGTTCCAAACATTTTTGTGTGTGACTTAAATTGAAAAGGTGAAAGATTTCTAACATTTCTTTTGGAATCTTATTATAAAAGAGTATATCGCTACCCAAGAAAGCATTATATACTTTGTGTAACCGGAAAGCAGGTATTGTGATTTTATTTTTATTTCTACTATTAAAATTATGCAAATCACTATTATTTACATCAATTCGATGCAATAAATTTCTTTAAATGGTTCTCTAAGAGATACTCGGGCTCCTAAAAAGTACATAGATCTTATTAATATGCACACTTTTTATATTATTCGATTAGCATTGTACAAAATGCTTACACGTTTCAAGTGTGTTAAAAATGTCTAAATATTTATCAAATGGGTGACGACATATCCGAACACTTTGTGTTCAAAAACACACACTTCCAAAAATCGAGATTTGCATTGAACTTATTGAACATGTTTATCTATTAGGTAATAATAATAATAGTAAGTAATTATTATAAACCCATAAGTTTACAACCCTATATGACTTCAATGTCTTATCTATTTCGTTGAACTTACTCTCCGGCGATGTCATGTACAAGTAACTATTAAGATTTTCAATTTATTAGTTATTGCAGATCTTAGCATTTTATTAGTCCATTTCTAGTATTGTCTTTTTTGTCGGAATGGTGAATTCCTCGCGTTACAAATACTGTAACATGTTATTAGTTAAATTAATAAATTATTACAGAAAACGTTAAATACAGAAACGAAAAAACACCAATAAATAATCAATTATATGTAATAAATCTGCTATAAGTTGATTAGGCATGACATTCTATATAATTCTATATAATTCTTATATTCTCGATACTTTTTCTGCCCGTAAACAGTTTTCAGCTAGACTGGATGAGAAGATTAAAATTCTCTTTAGAGAGATTGCTGATTTCACTGTGTTTAACAGATGACTAGCGATCATGTATTTACAAAAACATGTATGTGAAATAAATTATTATTTATTTAGACGCTGATCATCCCCCCCAACCCCTGAAAGTGATCTTATTCGTATGTATCCTACGCGAAATGTTAAAAGTGCCATCTGTTAGCGGTACAAAATATTCAGGGATTCTTTCAAATTCAAAAGAATTGATATAACATATTTAAAAAAAACTGCGTTAGTGAACCCATTTCACAAGTGTTTTTATAACTATTGTAAGTCAGTTCTTGACTATTTTGCCACCTGATGGTAAGTGGTGACCTAGGTGAAGATGGTAAAGCCAGACAGACTTAGTTTGATATCTTCCGGTCTTTTCTATGGTCGAATAGGGTGTCGGATATAATGCTTCCATCAAACACGCGTTATAAAATGAAAAAATAAATTATAAGAACATATTTGAAAGCATATAAAAGTTTTTATTTATTTTTTACGCTAAAAACTTACCATCGAAGGCTTCACCGCTACGTAGGAGCAGGTGGAATTGCAGACAAACACTGGCTTGTAATAAATAAAAAAAGTTATTTGATTTCATTACACATAAAATTAAGCGGCCTCCCACTAGATAGAGTGAGGACCTGGTACGTGGCACTGGCACTAAAAGTTTTACGTAACCCATAAATAAAACAATTGATATGT